AGATATTTGCTTAAATTTTACTTTTCTGTAATAAACTAAGGTAGCCATTTAGAAGCATGACCATCTCTCTGGTACACAAATAAGTAAGACCAGATCCTTAATGTTTTAACTCATGGGAACAGTCAGAAGGTTTGATGGGACATTAATATAACTAGCTGTATTCAAAAACTTGAGGATAATCCTTTCCATGTATTTACCTCTTCTGGGTTACTACTGGTGAGGAATTGAGAGGCATGGTATAGCCTTGTAACAGTGCACAGATGTTATGCGAAACAGTTTAGCATGGAGGTTTAAGAGATTCATAAAGAGTAAACATCATACCAGATGTTAATCAGCAAACATGATTAGATTCTTAAATGAAAAATAAAACCAAGAACTAAATATATGGTAGTCAAGAAAAAAAATCAGAGATGCACCTTTTCAGTTATTGTTGTTTTTTTTCCTGCACAGAATTGGATGAAGAACAGTTTGAGAATTACTGACAGTGCTTTGCAAGAGCAGGTGTGGGATATTTTCTCCGAAGCAACAAGAAACGTAAGTTAAGTGAGAGGTACAACAGGAATGTAGTCAAAAATGCTGGAAGGAAAACCTTTCAGACTCCCTTTATAAATGTTAGCAGAAATATTGTCTCTCATTCTTACAATGGATTGTGTTATAGTGTAATATTCCTAAACTAAATTGCTAATTTGTGGAACGTACTGTTGCTGAAGTAGTTGTACATACTGGGCAGGTTGTGATTAAAAGCTTGGACACAGTGATATGTACTAATCAGAAGGCTAATTTAACTTTATGCTATTAGTACATAAGGAAGGGGAAAACGCCATCTTTGGTTTCCAATTACAAGGAGGAATAAAAACTCCTCTCTTTTCAGAACTTTATTGGCCTCAAATTAATATGGAATGGAGTAGGAAATTAACAGCATCTAGTTTACCTCCTTTATTAGTGGAGGGAGATGAGATCTTCCAGCTTGTAGTGCAAATTCCTCCCACTGACCTTTTTTCTCAGTGCCTAATTCTTTCCTGTTTCAGTACTAGCTTAGCATGTTTTGGTAGGGTGTTGTTTTGATTGTTTGTTTACATTTATTACTGCTACTAGAAAGCTGTTACAGAAGCTTACTTCTCTGTTGATGTGGATTCCTCTCCCCCTCCCCACAGCTTCTTCTGAGGAAGAGTGCAGGCATAACTTTGACATTAATCCCTTGTTGATCATGCTTTATGTTCCTGATTTGATAATTCTAGTTAAATTTATTTGTAGTTTTTTCTGAAGAACCCAAATATAAGAGCCAAGAAGAAAATAATTTTGGGGGTTTTTTTAAGGATATGAACATAACAAACTCTGGGCACTGAATTTCAAGTCCATTTTCTTGCTGAAACATTAATTCTGAGTCGATACAACTTCATTAAAGCCATAAGCAATTCCTTCTTGATTTAAATTGATCTTTTTTAAAAAATGAATCTGAGCAATTATTTTATTTAAACACATGTAAACAATTTAAATTTTCTATAGAAGATAGCATTAAAGTAAAATATATAACACAACTTTCTTGCTCAGATCGTTTCAACACACCTTTAAGTTCTTAGAAACATCCTAAGATATTCTCTGTAATACATGCTTTGAAGTGTATGTACTCGAAGTTCTGAAGTGGAATTCAAATTGAATTGAAATTACTTTTTACAAAAACACGTTAGTATTGAGTTGCTTGTATAAACATGTATTCTCTTTCTAAATAGCCACATTAACATTTCAGTAATTGTATTTCACTTGTAATTATTAAAATTACAGTTTAAATATTAAAACGTTCATTAATGCATTAATTCTTTTACAAGAAAATTATTATAAGCCCAGGAACATTAAAAGAAAACCAAATATGTTACAGTGAGAAAAGTACAGTTCAAATTACCAGCGCTGCCTGCCTTCGTTGACATCATGGAGTAATAGTTTGTTGTCCCAGACGTATCCCAAGATAGGAAACTGGATGTCAAAGCTAAGATTATTACAAGGGCTGTATATTTGGGAATAGGTTCTGTATCCTGCTGCAGTATGCTGTATCTTTGTCTTTGTAAATCAGAGAGTTGTCTCTCCCTTAATTACATTTAACACACAGACATTAAAAAAAATACATAGACAGTTATTTCAAATAGAAATTATACATGTTGTAAGATAACATTGCTTCTGCGATGTTAAGGTAATTAGCATTTAGGGTGTTAAGTTAAAAGAAGAATCAGCCACACTTTATTTCTCAGGTAACTGATGTCACCACGTGTGAACAATTTAATTGATTTCAAGATGGTAGAGTTCTTCATGAATGATGTAGTAGTGAAAAGTTGCAATGTCAAAAAAGGCGTGTAAAAATTGTAATAATCTGTCTTTCAACAAAAGGTTTCAAGTGAAAAAGATCAAGACAAACCACAGCAGAAGGAAGAGGGGCAGTCTGCCAAAACTGGGGAAAAAACAATAGAAGAAAATGGAATTACAGATGATAAAACTGAGAAGAAAAAGAATAAGAGAGAACGAAAAGAAGAGCGACAAAAGAACAAAAAGAAGGAGAAAAAAGACTTGAAATTAGAAAACCAGCCAGAAGTAAAAAAGAATAAAAAATCCAAAAAAGGAAAGGAGAGCTTGGAGAATGAATTTGAAATAAATGGAAATGGCCATCAGGGTGAAACAGAAGAGGAAACGAATGTAAAGAAACGCAAACATAAACATGCAGAAGGTATCCACCCTACACCTTATATTCTTGTTTGTTTTCAAGATGCTTTTTCTCAATGCCTTAAAGCTTAATAATCAACTTTAGTAGAATTTTTTAAGTAGTAACTTACATACACAAATTAGATTATTTTTTAACCCTGTAGTTGCACAGTCCTTTTATTAAATCGGAACTTCTTAGCAAATATAAGCTCGTGTTACAAGAACAGAAACTTTAAGTCACGTTGGAACTTTTCTTCTAGTTTTATAATTTTTCATATGTATGTTTATCCAATTCCATCTCTAGAGGAACCTCATATCAAAACGAAGAGAATGAAAACTGAAAATGTTTCAGAAGACATGGAAACAGAAAACACCAATGGCAACGAAGAAAATGTGGGAACAGATAAAGGTATTCTTAAAGGAGGAGTTTAGATAGTTTAAAACTATTCTGCAAAAGACCTAATGCAGAATACATATCTGTTCCAAAGTAGTCTGCGCTGCACTTAGCACCTGATGCTCAATTCTTCTCTCATTTGTTGCTCTGTTGTGCTGGCAACCTTTGGCTACGCTTGCTTTCACAGGGCATGGAGGAAGTTGGCACGTTTGTTTCACCACAGCAGGTCTCTTCCCTGTTGCCATGCTCATTAGCCAACATAGAGGAAAAGGGGTAACAGCTCTCTTAGAGCTCTTATATCTCTTAGAACTCTTATATCCCTGTTTTTGTTCAGTGAATCATAAATTGGACTCCAGCTGTGTTGGACCTTAGTTTGCGCATAGATAAACCTCCTTATGTCTCTCATCTGACACACTATGACTGTTGGGGGATGTCTGTACTTGAACACACAGATTGTTTCTTTGGAAACTACCAATTAATGACCTCTGAAGCGGGTACTGTGTGAAATTCACTACCTGTGCTCTAAGGGTGAGGAGACAGGATCTTCCCAGCTATTCCCATATTATGTAAGAGTTGCTGCTTAATAGCTGAAGCACACAAGTTGAGTAAATGCAATCCTGACCCTAGTTGTGCAAGTAGTATGTTGGTTCTTCATGTCTGTCCTAGTATAATCTTCAGAAACAGCCTACTTGACTTTATGCTTAAGAGACCCTGCTGTTGTAGGGTCAGCAACATAACACTGAACTGTTGCGGTAGCTGAACTGGTTCCAAAATTAGGAGATTAAAGTCTGGTTCCTACTAGAGAAGAAGACCTGGAAATACCTAATTTTACTAATGATGTTGTACACCTAATTATTTTCTAGGTAAATTCAACTGGAAGGGAACCATCAAAGCTGTTCTGAAACAGGCTCCAGACAATGAAATTTCAATTAAAAAACTAAGAAAAAAGGTACTGTACAACATTTTTTTTAATCGTTGGTCTTGTGAATTTCTTTCTGTAATGCTTAAGTTCATAAGATCCTGCCCCACATAAGCAAAAAAGTTTGACATTATTTAAGAGAATATCAGTTGACAGAATGGCAACTGAAGGACATGTTCTTTATTGCTTCCTGGGCCACAGGAGAAATTCAGTGCTAATTCTAAAAAGGAATAATAGCATAATAGATTCCATGCTCCTTTTAATACAGTAACATGAATGTATTACTGCTTAAAGTGGAATTGTCTTTACTAACTCACAACCATTCCTCTGTCTTTGTGCAGGTTATAGCTCAGTATTATGCAGTAGCTGGTGAACATCACAAATCAGAAGAGGATATTCTAGTCATATTTAATAAGAAAGTGAATAACAATCCCAAATTTAAAGTTTTAAAGGACAAAGTTAAACTCCTGAAATAAGAGTTTGCATACTTTTTATAACCTTTGCATTTTAATCTTGCAGACTAAGTCAAATTCTTCTGTCAGCTGTACAAATACCATGCATTGGTCTCAATTTAAATTGTGTATGTGAGAGCAGAATTTAACTTTTAAGACTGGATTCCTTCTCTTTTTCTAGATTTATCACAGAACATTTTCAGATATTTTATTTTTTGATTTTATAGAAAAATGTATATTTTTTTTGTACAAGTCTACCGTATTAAAATTCTTCCAGTAATGGATATAATTTATAGGCATGAATGTTTGCCAGGACCTCAGTTGTGTGGCTTTTTGCAGAAACTATTGTAAGAGCAAATAGGATTTTCATATTGAAAAACCCACCATGGAATAAATGTTTTGTTACGCTAAAATTCAAAATGGTATGACTTATATCCCCTTTATGCACTGTAGCTTGTATATACAGGCTTTAATAACCTGTTAATTTTGTGTTGTAAAAGGCATAATTGAAGTGGCTGTCAAGTTTGTATACGTAATATTGCACATTTAGTGAAAAATCTAAAGACTGAGTTACCTGTATATGCATAGCTACTGAATGTTTGAATTAGTAATGCAACTGACTTCAGTGTAAGTGGTCATATGGACTGAAAATTGCCTGATGAAATAAATTACTTTGAAACACCACCTTAAATATAATAAATCTTGCCGGTTTGATTGTATAATAAATCCACATACTATACAAAATTTGAGAGGCTGTTATATTGCAGTCACCGAAACAATTTAGGCAGGCCAAAAATCTTACAAGCACATAAGAGAGAGAGTTGCCTGGGGAAAGTGACTACAAGTTCATAGGGTTTTAATCAAATGCAAAAAATTCCAGATAGGGAGTATCAATGAAGTAATCTGTTAAAAACAGTGACAGAAAGCCAGTGAAAATTTCTTGCAGTAGATATTATGGTGTTTGGGAAAATTTGCATAGTGATATGAAGCAGATACACTTTTGTAAAACTCTGTAATTAAGATATCTGAATTTATAGAAATATTGAATATATTAAAAGTATAAATATGAAAAAATTAACTGATACACTGGGTCCATTTTTTTCTGAGTACATATTTGTCTTGTTTATTATGAAAGTGTAATAGAAATACATAATAAATTTAAGATCTCTTCAATAAGTGTTTGTTGTTAATTCTTGAAAATGGCTTTGGAAATGAATAGAATAAAAATTATTTAGAGACATGGGGAAACTTCAAGAAGTTGTTTGATCACCTTTCAAAAGCTTAGATTTCTTTTTTTTTTAATTTAGGAAAAGACATATAAAAGAATTATATATATATATATCATTCCAAATTATGCCATTCTCTTATACTTTTCATCTTTCATTGTTGTTGACTACACCATGTGTTTGACAGATGCGTAGAAACTACATTTGCTGAACTGCTGATGCGATCCGAAGTTCTTGTGATGACAGCAGTGCAGTCAGCAGCTGCCACGGTTGTGGTGGCTAATTCTATGTTGTGCCTCCATCCTCTTCTCCCTGCCCTCAAACTACTAGGATCTAACCTCTCTTTTTATCCTACACTTCGAAACGCCAGTCCCATGTCCAAGCCAGGATCGTCTTCCTGCTGTCGGCCTCTGCGCTCCTGTGCCAGCTGCTTCCAGCTGCCGTGTTGC